TTGTTTTTCTGCATAATCCAAAAACCTGTTATGAACAACTAGTATCTATTTTATCACAATCACAGCACCAGCACCAACAATTTAATGTTAACATTACAATCCGAATAATTCAATGTTAACATTACAATCCAAATTTATCAATACATAAATTTGCCCACGTCTATTTAAACAGTTGTCATTCCAAATAATTTTTCAAGAACAGTAAATGACTCTCAATTCCAGCTGTCATTCACAAGTCTTCTATCTACTCCTGGGTGCGAGTTAGGATAAGAATTGGCATCATGACCTTGTAGTCCACATCTCCAACATTCTCCCGGCTCCGGCGTCCCCTGTAATCCATTTGCCTAACATGTCTCCTTTTTTGTCTTCGTCCCAGTCCCGCATGCCACACAAGACACTCATAATTCGGAATGATGTTCCAATTGACCGTCGGCTATTGTTCCTCATCGGGAACCAAAACAAAGCCCCTGTAATCAAATTGTCTGCGCCACGTTGGAAGGCACCACACACGATGGCATAGATCAATTGTCCGATCCCCTTTTCTCCGGCAAACTTGGAGTGCGTGCGTACAAGGCATCCGGTACTCTTGCCACTTCCTGCACGAACACCTATTTTCATCGTAGTTCACCGTATGCAAAGACCCACCTCTGCCACTTAGCCGTGTTGCAGTAACAACCCGCCACATAGCATTATCACCATCAAAAGGGGTGGCTTCAAAACTGGCTGCTTTGTCGTTCATTTTCTCGTATTTTTACCATAACTCAGGAGGGTTCGGTATCATGCAATTTCTCACAGACAATTGTTTTTCTCTGTAGAATTTCACAGTTTTGCGAAAGGTTGCATCGATCAAGACTCTAATTGGTAAAAACCGGATCCCTTTCAACGCATTATTGTAACTCTCAGAAATGTTGGTTGTCGCTATGCCCCAACGGCGAAGACTGGCTTTCAATCGAGCCCAGTTACTCCCTGCAATCCCTCGAAGATATTCCCATGCAGCAGGCTTGAATTCAATAAGCTCTGCCCTCATACGGTTGTATCTCACTCTTGAAAGCGTCGTGCCCATCTTCCAACATAACCGCTTCACTTTTTTGCTATTATATCACTACACAAGATTGCTGCGAATGTGGCGGAGGCAAAGAAAGTGGCCACCATCACCTAAATCACGCCATTCATCCATCTGTGACATTGCGCTCAACAACCCTGCATTCCGGTCGGATATCACACTTACGATTCTATCATGCATAACCCACAACCTCAAATTTCTCATAAAAAATGTCCAACTCTCTACTATCTCCTCATCCACAATCGCAATTGCAACCGGCAAAATATGCTTGTTTGCGGCATAGAACACCGCAACAAGCAATTTACCCTTATATCCACCACGCAAGAATGTTCCATCAATACAAATGATTGGTGGACATTCAAGAAACGTCATAGCCACTGGTGCAAATGACCAGAAGACGTATTTAAATGTCCTATTTCCCCTATTCCAACCTTCTTGTCCCTCTTTCCATTCTCACTCTACTACAGTCTCAGGATTAGTAAACTTTAGCGCAGCGATATACCTACATAACAAACAAGTCATAGTTAAAATATTTCAATACATGTAAAAAAAACACTAAAAATATTTGAATACACGGATAAAAGTTGATATTTACAGTGGAAGTTCTTCGAAATTCGAGGTCCAATCACCATAGACTACTTCTATGGCTTTCCTCCTCCCGTGCCCCGCCCTTTTGTATGGTACATCTACTTTCAATAAGGTGTTCACATCTTTCTGTGCCGAGGCTACCGTATAATCTACATTGTCCTCAACCTTTCTCCTGATGAGTCTAGCAATCAAAGACGCGTCCACACACTGATTGTCATTATCATTCACGGGAGTCATGCAATTATGTGCATCATGCCATCTCACAATTTCATGAAGGCCGTGAGCTTTCAAAGACACACGCATCTTCCACTCACATGGTGGTTCACCATCCTCACTTTCCACATTTAATGTTCTGCACCGCACAGCCCACGTCGTTAGACTACTCGCGGTGACCGTATATTTCCTTTTATGATGCATGTTCCATAATTTCACAGCATGCTTTGCTTCTGATTGAGATTTGAAACAAACACCAATGTCCATTCCTTCGGGCATCTCATCCCACATCTTAAGAGCAAACTCATCCTTGTCCACACATGAGGCATCCCAATTCCCCATCTTACTATATACATGGCATCGGGAGAATGGATTACAATCCCTTTCCTCATTTTCCAACCTTTCATCATCACTTTCTTCAAAATCACTCTCTCCGGAGACATCACAGTCTTCTTCGCTTTCACTTGGAGCTATGTAGTCGAGATCCGACTCTTCCCGGTAGTCATCTTGTGCAAATAAAGGTGTCTCCTCTTCATCACGGTTTCGAGAAGTACTAGCACGTTCCCCCCTTGGAAAACCACCAAATAACACGTTGTTTTCCAAACTCGCTTCTCTTTCTTCGTGAGTGATATCTTCCAAATCTATGTATAAATCCAAACACGACATTGGATCTACACGGTTCATGAACTCTACATGCGAATCATTTTTGATCTTCACTACACACCTACCACTGGGACTATCGAAAATCAAAGAAAGGTGGAGTTTCACGTGTGGTCGATTCCAACCAAGTGTCATACAGATCTTACTAATCAATCCCTCATATGACAACCTTTCCTCAACAAACAAACCATGATCCGGCATATTCGAAAAAGTGTTGATGCTACCATTCTCTATCACATACTTGCATGTATGAAACAAATTCAGCATATATGATACATTACGTGCCATTGATAACTGTTTAAAAAAAAATCAATATCTAATCATTTCTTAGTAACAAAATCAACAAATACACCATACATACTCCATTCATAATTCAAAAACTTATAAAATACTAAAATACTTATAAATCAACTTGCATATCTCATGAATAACAATGATTTCTCATCTCTAACATCAAAATCAACACCTAAAACATCCAAACAACCAACCAACATAAACCCTAATTTATCATACATCATTCTAACAATGAAAATAAAACAAAACTAAACTAAATAACACGGTTTTGCAATCTAACCTCTTTTAAATAACAATTCCCACGTATCTAGAGGCAAGAATGCATCCAAAGCTCCAATTCGCCCTTGTTTGAGCTGCAAAAACAGAAAATCCAACTCAGTTCTCGAATAAGAACTTTCTGAATTTTTTTTTCTTTTATAGCACGATAAACTCGGATTTCCGAAATCCGAGCCCGTAAGTAACTCGGATTTTTGAAATCCGAATTAAGGTGGACTCGGATTTCCTGAATCCGAGTTTGGTCAATTCCGGATTTTTTATTCATTTTTTGGTCCTCCAATTTATGACACATGTCTACTTCCACCAACCAAAATTAAAAGCAGTCGGATTTCCAAAATCCGAATAAAGAAAACCAGATTACGGACTTCCGGTTTTTGGATTCAAAAATTTCACTCCTCGATTTTCTTTTTTTCTTTTTTCTTTTTAAGAACTTGGATTTTGTAAATCCGAGTACTACTGTTTAGTTAGGGAGTCCAGGACCGTATTTGAGTTCTAATATTTCGCGCCTCAATTTATTATTTTTTAGTTAAATTCGGATTCCGCAAATCCGAACGACACTGTTCATTTAAGAATTTTTAAAAACTATTATTCTACAAAATTTATTAATTATTATTTTATTATTAAATATAGTCTCGGATTTTCGAAATCTGAGTTCTGATGACCTGGAATCCTTATTTGAGTTCAAATATTTCGCGCCTCAATTTATTATTTTTTAATTAAATTCAGATTCTGCAAATCCGAACGGCACTGTTCATTTAAGAATTTTTAAAAACTATTATTCAACAAAATTTATTAATTATTATTTTATTATTAAATATAGTCTCGGATTTCCGAAATCCCAATCTTTAATTTTAATCAAAACTCGGATTTCGAAAATGCGAGGGATATATTTCTGTCCACTAATATTCTAAAAAGAAAAATTTAAATTTGTCCACGTTTATTTTAATTAATTTTGTTTTGGGAAAAAGCCCGTGAAAACATTAGGTAATGGTTTAAGAAATGTTGTAAATTATGGTAAACAACTTCATACCAAAATCGTTCTCTTGATTGTATTTACAAGGCTTTCTTTTAATCTCGACATAGTTTCAAATTAGGTCTTTCTAGGTAGGATGAAGCAGTAAATGAATCTCTTTGACGGATACAGCTATATCGAATCTTAACTAAATGTGATGAGATTATTATGATTAAAAAAAATAATGATATAAATAATCATATTAAAACAAAACATAACGAAAGAGGAAAGAACCGAGAAGCATGTTTTTCCTTTTTTTCATTTTAAGATCAAATCATTTGAATGCCAAAATCATCCAGAAAATATTGGAAGCTTTCCCCTACCAAAATCTGACTACAAACCGGGACAATTCGGGCAATTCAAAAGATTTTATAATTTACAAACACTAAATTCCTTTGGGTAGTGTATAGACACTTCATTTACATATTTAGAGTAAAAACAATAGATAATCTTTATCTTGTGTAAAGTTTGTCTTTTAATTAACGACAGTATATAAGAAATTAAGTATCTCAAGAAATGTCGTGTCCATAACATGCATGTTATGTTCGCTACAAAAAGGCAAAAGAAGCAGGAACATATTTGTATTCTTTCTTACCCATCTTTTGAAGTATAGGGAGGATAATTTCATTAAAAACTTAGCGTCATGTTTTACCTTAAGAATTCATTCGCTCCTATATAAAGAAAAAAAGAAAAATGAAGAACAATTGCAAGGGGAATAATACAGAAGTAATAAAAAAGAAAGGAATAAAGTACTAAGAAAACTTGTTTGATGTAATAAAAGAAACCCGAACCTTTATAAAATTCTTTCACCATTTAACACTCAACAGATCATTTCAATTTTTGTGAAACACGAAATAAGACTTTGCTTTTTTTAATCTATAAATTCAAGAAGATCGTGAACCTTTCTGAATTAAAATATCAGGAAATAAATCAGTAAAATTATACAATTCCATTTCTTTGTGTTTTTGAGGAGAAAGCAAGACTGAAAAGATTATTAGTATGTCGGAGGATCAGACGGCAAATGGTTCGCAAAACTTACGAGACGAAACAAACAGTTCACCGTCCACTCCTGAAGGTATGAGAGTAAAAAATTTATTTTATTACTACATCAAATGCAGTGATACATCTTAGGTCGTACTTAAACAGTCTTTCTATATTAATATATTGGGATTATTTATATTTCGATTCCCCCAGACTCCAACAAAGTTGGAAATAGTGCGCATCGGTATTCATTATTCATTTAATGCAGACTCAAGTTTGATAAGTCTCTTTCAGGAGACAAATACTCCGAACAAATATTTTAATTATTGATACATGTTCTTTATCAGAATCTAGTTTTAGGTTCTAGTGAATATGATCCAATACCTTTATCCCTTGATTTTTTTTTCTTCTTTTTACGTTATTTTGCTTTGTAAATTCGCTCAATTTACACATGGGTAATGTGCATAAATATTGATCCTCGATAGTATTTACTTAAGTCGCTTGATTTCAGAAAGGTTTGAGTAATTAGTTGATGAACTTAAAATATATAACTCCCTAGTCTGTCCATGTTTAAAGTGGATTACCATGCATCGTATTTCATGAAGGCTATCAATATCTATAACGGTCCTAGGAAGGGAGGTTAATGATGCCACCAATAGCGACCACATTTCTTGTGTGATATACCTTTCATGTATGTGAACAAGGTGGTTCTGTTGTTAGTTCTTTTCGTCCCAAAGTGATATGATTTTATTCCTAAGGTCTACATAGATGCCCTGATTTCAATTTGTACATATGGAGAGTTATTGTTTGATCGACTTTTTGTGTTACTTCAGTTCTCCCTTTTTCTTATTTTCACACTAGCATTTGATCAATTCGCATAAATAATACCTAAATCATGTTGTTATTGGTTCTGGAATTTATTTATACAAGAAATCAGCCGGAGACGCCGTGGGCGAAAGCTTAATACAGCTGCCCTGGAAGGAGATTGGGAAGCTGCACAAAGGATCTTCGCAAGTGATGAAAGTATGAAGACCGCAAGACTCAACGACCAGCAACGGACAGCGTTGCTGCTCGCGGCAAACCACGGGAAGTCGCAATTTGTGTTGAAGCTAGTAGAGATGCTTAGTAGCCAAGACCTGGAGATGGTGGACCACCGAGGCTTCAATGTTCTTCATGACGTGGCGATATGTTCCAGCGTCGAGGCTGCAAAGGCTATCGTCGCGAAAAACCCTAGTTTGCTTTTGTCCAAGGCAGATGGCCGTTTTATACCGCTGTTTTACGCGGCTCGACAGCGACTTCCGTCAAAGAGTAGCGAAATGTTGCGATACCTTTATAACGTGACGTCACCGATTTTGGATTTGAACCGGGATGAAACAGCTCCGGAACTCTTGGTGGCACTGACGAATTCAGGAGCTTATGGTAAGCTCTTAAATATGTAAACTAGGATCTCAGTGCTCTCTGTGTCCCAAAACTAGTGTTCAACTTTAGATTTGACTTTTAGTACAATTTGAACCAAAAATAAAAATCCAAACTGCAACATTGTTGATAAACATAACGAAGAAATCATTGGAAATTTTTTATAATTTTTCTAGTAACGTCTCGACATACCTACATATTATTTTCGGCGGTCCGTTCATTTAGGAAGAACAACCATTTGAATTTCATTTGGTGTTTAGTGTAACAAGTTAATAGGAGTTGGCGAATTCTGTTTCATCGATCCCTAATGATGGATTCATATAGATATTGCTCTGAAAATCATCCAAGAATATCCCGAGTTAGCTCTCAAACCAACCACCGATGGACTGACTATCCTCTATGCCCTTGCTTCCCAACCTTCAGCTCTTTTAAGGGGAAACAAAATCCCTTCTACATGGAAGAGCAAAATTTATCCATGTGAGTGCTTGTTATGTTTTACTTACATAGTAACTACATAAAATTTATTAAAGCCATGTTTCTTTCAAAAATAAAAATAAAAAATACTGTAATAATAATTATACTAACAATTAAAAATTCTGCAGGGATGAAAATTGTCACAGAAGAGCAGCGAAAGCACAAGGATGCATTAAAACTAGTTGACTTCATTTGCGATCAATTACAAAAAAAAAGCGATGAAGACATCCTTGACTACTTCATGCCCAGTAATTCCACATCTGTTTTGGATATAGGCATCCGAAATGGCGCATTCGATCTCGTAAACACGTGCATACGAAATTTTCCGGAGTTGATTTGGTACAAATTTCGCAGCACCGATGGTGACAGCGAGAACTTATTTTTACTTCATGTTGCGGTTAAGCACAGGCAGGCAGAGATATTTAACTACGTACTGTATTTGATTGGGGAGGATGCTGGACGACCTTTTTCACGCGCAAGTGATATAGAAAGTAACAATATCCTCCATTTGGCTGCGAATTTGGCACCTATTCTTCAATTACACTCTGTCCCTGGTCCTATTTTTCAGATGCAAAGAGAATTACAATGGTTTCAGGTAACTGATCTTTTGAATTTTACCAAATTTCTTGTCCTTCATTAGAATTAACTCTCATTGTTGTTAAGATGTATTATCCTACATCACCATCGTAAAGATAAGTGGCTCAGTATATAAACTCAGGTCACTTCACTTAAAGCTAATTGATTTTGAGGTGAAATCACATGTAAACTTATATGAGCTTTCAAGATGGTATCAGAGCGTGTTTTATGTGTGAATTTTGTGGGTGAACTGTGAATGATCTGGCAGTTTCTTTGTTTCACTGAATTTGTCAACTGAAATTAAAATTCTTTAATTGAAAGTTGCACTTTGTTTTTAAAAGATGTTCAAAATAAGGGATTAAAAACCCAAAAAGAAAAGAATGAAACTCCCTTGATTAATTACGTTTTACAGGCTGTGGAAGCAATAGTTTACAATGACCAGATGGTAGCAAGAAACAAATCCTACAAAACTCCTCTAGAAATTTTCTATGATAAGCATGATGCTTTGATGAGGGATTCAAAAATTTGGATAAAAGATACATCCAACTCATGCATGGTGGTGGCAGCCCTAGTTGCGACAGTTGCCTTTACGTCGTGTATCACCGTGCCCGGCGGCCTTAAAAACGACACCGGAAATCCGGTCTTCTCCAAGAAGGCAGTGTTCACTGTGTTTTCCATATCAAATGCATTGTCAATGATAAGTTCAGCAACGTCACTCTTGTTGTTCCTGTCGCTTCAAATGTCAAGGTTTACCACACATGATTTCTTGAAGTCGTTGCCGAAGAATTTGCTCCGAGGACTTTTTGCATTGTTTGTTGCGGTGGCCACCATGATGATAGCTTTTGGAATGGCGATTGGAATAACACTCCAACATAAGGTTAGTTGCTTTTACATCGCCATCATCGGTGTTGTATGTATCCCACTTGTGACCTTCACTAGTTTGCAGCTTCCTCTACTCTTTCAAGTCCTAGATGTCACAAAGAGATCGGAACGTTTCAGGCCTTATTAGATTAATAACCATACTTTATGTATTAGATTAATAACCATACCCATTCTTTGATTCTTTAAGGGAGCATTGTTAGATTCCATAGTAATCCTGAGCTCCATGGTTTTAGACGTGAAATGCTTCTGGCATTAGAATGGTGGAAAAATAAAAAAAATAAAATAAAGTAAAACCTACTCCAAGGCAGAGTTCATCAGTAAGAGTGATGGGCTATGATGTTGAATTTCCACTTCTCTTTCTTCCGTTTCATTTAATTGAGTTGCCAGCAGTATGAAATGGTTGAATAAACTAAATATTTTGTGCAATCTCGGTAAAATGTACTCCCAATATATCAGGGGTAACATTACATTTCCTTGTATATATCTCTCTCCATATCATGAAACAGATTATTTTGGGACATAGAAAGTAATTTTTGCCTAGTTTATCATTAACTTTCACTAATTGCTTTATAACTTTTCTTTGTTGTGTGTGTCACAAGACACATGTCAGTCAATTAGGTTATCTATAATTTTCAAATACACGTGTCATCTTCTCATTCGTAGAGAATTTTATGTAATCCTTAAGTGATCTTCTAATTCGCATATTTTTTTCCAGGTATTTTAGCCAAGTAATATGATTAATTTAAACACAGTCAAATGGTTATTTTATAAGAAAATAACTTCCATCAACTTAGACTTTTACCGATCTCTAAATCATCGATTTGAGGACTCCGGGCACAAAGATCTCCGGAACATCTCCGGAATAACAATTTGACTGGAAACAATTCTCTGTCCACAAAGATTTTCGGACCCGTCACTTACAGATTTTACTTCATCGCTGGATCATTGGTTAATTCCTTAGACCAATGATAATCAAAAACCGAAATTAACAAAAAGACCGGTGAAATTTCTCTGACGACATGGCAGTGACAGCCACTACGACCAAAATTCTAGAGACTATATATACAGCTTCTATATTCATCAACGCCGAAAGCATCACCGGATTTTAATGTAATCTTCTGACAATAAAATCTAAGCAGCACACGATCGCGAATATAATCGACAATGTTTCCTGAAAAACATGTACTGGCGTCGACGAATCGACAATATCAGCACCGAGAACACCGAATTTTTTTTTCAAAGTGATGAAAGAAAGGCATAATTTTGTGATGGACAATGGGGATGATGATGAAGGGAGGGTTGATGATGATGTTGGAGGGATGAGCGATGATAGGGCTGATGATCATGAGAGAGTGGACGATGATGATGATGGGAGAAGAAATATGAGGCGATGAAGTGTGATGGCCGACCGAAGAAGAAGAAGAAGCGGCGGCATCTAATTTCTTCTTTTACGTGGTTATTAAAAGTATTAGGGCTGAGTTTTAGGGGATTTTTTTATTTTTATCATCTCTATTGTATATTAAAATTTCCATATAAATGAAAATTGAACCTTAATAGACAATTGAACCCTATTGGACAAATGAAGTTTGATTCCGTTAGAATACTCCAAACACAATATGTGTAAGGTTTAAATTTAAATGAAAACAAAAAAAATAAATAGAAAAGATGAATACCTACAATATTAATAATCTATGTTTACTATTTATATATAATCAAGGTAAAACAAGAGAAAATCAAAATCACTTATCCATCTCACATAAAATTTAATTTTACGTAAAAAATATTATTTTATATGTATAAAAAATATTATATTTATATTTTTTGAAACCAACATGCATTCAAGAAAAAAAAAAAAAGAGAGAAGAAAAGAATACGATCGTGTTTTCAACTTGGATAATTTAAATCTCGCCGAGGTGACAGTTATCATAAAATTTATTTTATTATAATCTTATAGGCTTAATTTAATTATATTTTGGAGTTTATTAATTGATTTTATTATTGTTTTGTGTTAGGAAGTAAAATAGTAAAAGATGACTATTATGTATTCTTACGAGCTATTTTACGGAGTTGGAGTTAAAAAGAAGCTAAGAAGATTTCATCAAGTCAAAGCTATTATTTATAAAACCTTTATAGCTAGATTTCACTGCAAAAGATTTGGATAAATGTTGAAGACTTTTACCAACTTGAAGACTTTAACCACAAAATCTTTATTTAGATTGGTAAAAGAATCATGGAGCAACAACCTGAAGATTTCGAAATAAACATATATGCAGTTTAGATAGGATTTTGACTCCTATATATTTGAGATTTCGGTTGGCAAAAAGGCACTATAAATAGAGGCTTGTTAATTGATCCAAAGTGCCTCCCCGTAGCTTAGCAAGCTGCTACCCCCCCCCTCCCCCCACTCTCCATTTTCATTAGTTTTATTTAAGGTTTTTTTTTTAGCCGTTTTTTTATTTTCTTTTAAAAACTTAAAACATGTTTCTAGTCACTATCAGTGGCTAATTTTTCTTCTTTTGGTTCAAGGATTTTTATTCATTTATATTATATGTGAGACTACAAGTTTCATTTTATTCTTTCTACTTTTGATTCAAGTACTTGTTGATTTTAATTTTTTTATGAGAGTAGATACTTGATTATACTAAGTTTTGATTAGATTCTGGGCTTGGTCAAATACTTTTAGAAAATCTAAGGCTTTTTACGGCTATCCTATTAAACCTATGGTTGGATACTTGAGTTGTAGAAAAATGTATATTTAGTCGATGATCTATAATATATTTGAATCATTCCTTGAACTAAATTTTTTCTGTTATTAATTTTTTCTCCATTTTTATTTACTTCAAATTGTCATTTTATTTTAATGAAGAAAAATCCCCCCTGTTTGTATTTTTGTAAAGCCAAGTGTTAAAAGTCGTCTTTCTTGGGATTCGACCTGATTCCACTGTTTCTGCAAATTAATTTTAGTCTGTTAGGAAATCAGATTAATTTTTGCGGGTCTCGACAAACCCGTCAAAATTTTGGCGCCATTGCCGGGGAGCCACTTCCTTTGGCTCTTGGTTTTATTGTTTTATTACTTTTTTTTTCTTATTCCAAAACGAAAAAAAAGTTTGTAAAAGTCTTGTGTTTCATTCTTGGTTATTAGTCTTATTATTAATAAAAAAAATCTTGCAATTTTTTTCTTTCTTTCTTTCTTTCTCTTGTTTAAGAAATAGTTGTTTTTATTAGTTAGTAGTTTGAACAAAAAGAAACAAAAGTTGGTCAGTTTTAGTATAGTAGTATTTTTTTTTTACTATTATTATTATAAAAAAAAAGAATTTTTTTTGTTTTTATCTTGTGTTGTTATTTTCTTTTTCTCGCTAATTATTTTTTACTTCGTTCTAATTCACAGGCCACCATTTCCATTGCAGATCATCTTTTGCCCAGCAGCAGTGCATCGGTTGGCCTCCAAATTGGGATTTCGGTCTTTGAAAATTTTCTTTTGCAGTAGCCACTAACAGCTCAATCTAGGGAGCAACTTGTTTTTGGTGGAAAAGTGTCATTGTTATATTTATTCAGATTTTGAGTTGTGTTCTTATTTGTGCAATTTTTTGTGTTAAGTTAATAATTGCCTTATTTTTTTTTTTATTTTTTGAATCTAACTGATGTGCTCTACTATAATTGTTTCTATAAAAAAAAAAGTCCCATTTTTTTGTGTGAAATTAGTCTTCTTTTGTTAGTTTATTTTGTTGGTGCGTGCTAGTAACTGTAGGAATTTTATCATTTTAGATTGCTAGTTTTTGTGTTTTTTTTTTTTTTGAGATTTCTGGTTTATGAGTAGTTGTCGTACTAGAAATAGTGATCTTAATTACATTCTTGAGATTAAAAAAGCTGCTCGTCTGTTAAGAAAAGAAGCTAAGAAAAAGAAAGCTAATTTGTATTCTAGGGTGAATTTAGATTCTCAGTAATCAAATTCTGATTTTGATTCTCAGGAAGAAGAAAACATGGGTGAAAATAATAGAACTTTGAAAGAATTAGCTGCACCAAACTTGAATCAACAGCCTCTGTGCATTAATTTTCCATGTTGAAGCAGCATTTGAGCATAAATCTGGTCTGATACATTTACTTCTTACTTTTCGTGGTTTTACGAGAGAAGACCCCCACAAGCATTTGAAGGAATTCCATGTTGTCTGTTCAACAACGAAACCACAGGGTATTACTGAGGAGCAGATTAAACTAAGAGCTTTTCCTTTTCCTTTAGGCGATAAAGCGAAAAACTGACTGTATGATCTTCCCGCAGGTTCAATCAACACATGGAACGAGATGAAGAAAATTGTTCTTGGAGAAGTTTTTACCTGCTTCACGAGCTGCAAATATAAGGAAGGATATATGCAGCATTCGATAGATGACAAGGGAGTCCCTTTATGAATATTAGGAAAGGTTTAAAAAGTTATGTGCTAGTTGCCCGCACCATCAAATTCAAGACCAGCTCTTGATCCAATACTTCTATAAAGGTCTTCTACCCATGGATAGGAGTATGATAGATGCAGCCAGTGGAGGGATGTTGATAAAACACCAGCAGCTGCAAAGCAACTAATTTCAAACATGGTTGAAAATACTCAACAATTTGGATTGAGAACTGACGGAGGGGTTAAACTGACTAACGAGGTAAGTCATTGTACTCTTGTTAATCAAATTTCTGATTTAACTTCTTTGGTTCGTCAAATGGCTGTAGGACAGTTACAGGCAGCTAAAGCTTGCGGAATATGCACAAATTCTGGGCACCCAACAGACATGTGTCCTTCTCTTCAAGAAGACCCAAATCAGCAAGTTAATGTCGTAGGAGGATTTTCAAATCAACCCCAGAGAAGATATGATCCCTACTCCAATACCTATAATCCTAGATGGAGGAATCATTCAAACTTCAGCTATGCAAATAATGATGGTCAGCAGAGATTTCCTCAAGCCTATAACAGGGCTCCATCACCTCCATCACAACCACAAAATTCAGGTTCTTCTCTTGAGGAAATTGTTAAAAATCTTGCTATTAACACTAACAATTTTAGCAGGAAACAAGGGCGAGTATCAAAGACTTGGGAAACCAAGTTAGCCAACTTGCCAACAGTGTCAGTAGATTGGAAGCTCAAAATGCTGAAAAGTTACCCTCACAAACGATCATAAATCCCAAAGAGAATGTTTGCGCAATGATGTTAAGAAGTGTGAAAGGGATCCAAGCAAGTCCAGCTTCACCAGTGAATGAGGTAGAAGAGAAAGAAATGAAAGAAATGAACAAAGAATCTTTCAAAAATTCATCAGAGGTAAAACTAAATCCTTCATGGCTTAATACTTCTTATAAACCTATTCCTCCATTTCCTACTAGGTTGATGGAAGATAAAAACGATGAACTTGAAGAA